CATCTGCTCTGGTGTTTTAGCCACACTAGTGTCTTAGCCATGTCAGTGTCTTAGCCACGCCATCAGGATATACATTTGTACAATAAGCAGAATCAATAGCAAATATTTAATGACTCAATGTCTTAGCCACACTGGTGTCTTAGCCACATCAATGTCTTAGCCATGCCATTAGAATATACCTTTGTACAATTACATTCCAATGCTTTAATACTTGATAATTGGCTACAACATTACAGCTAAGACTTTGAGGTAGAAAAGTGGTATTATAGGACAATTCCAAGCTTATATTTGCAAGGTCTTATGCTTTAGTGGTATAGTGCGCTGTGGTTAATTTCGGGCTGCGGGTTTGATTCCTGCTTGTGCATTTTTTTGGGCTTTTCGGAAATTCTTCAGCGTGTCTTAGCCGCTCTTGGGCGCTTCTGGGTGGCTAGTCCGGTGTAACTTAATAAGTTCCCGTGTCTAGGCCGCCGAACTGAATCAGCTCCCTTCCACCCATGCAAAATATAGCACCTGACCCTGGCAGTTTTATATCACATCGATCTGTCGTATCTTTAGCCGCATGTCCCGAAAGTAAGTCACTGCTTTCTTACTTTTTATTACCCCAAGCTCTGCGCCCTATTCTCGACCCTGCCCTTTACATACTCACTGCCGCGTGCTCTGTTACTTTCGCTTGCCCCCTCCGATGTTCTTATTGTCTTGGCCTGCGTGATATGCTGCTGTATCCTGAGCGGTGCGTCCGCCACTCGTGCCCAAGCTGCCGCAGGCAGTGAGGACCGGAAGGTCAGCCACGAAACTTATTTATTTATTAGTAGGAACGCTGAAACTTGTAGGTAAGTGAGCTCAAGCCACAAAGACACTAGCCACGAGAACAGCTTCTGAGAGAATATTTATCGTGGAGCGGGGTGGGGCTGCCTTCTGTGATAAATGATTCAGTATCTCCGATTGCGATCGGATTGAGAGAAGGCGTTTAAGAGCAGCCTACACAGTAGCTCAGAGTAGCTCTTCCAGCCATGAGAAATGATAGACCATTTCAGCAGGAAATTTCTCATCTGCATTTCATGCTGGAGCCTCCACCTACCCCGACGTGGCAATGAAGATTCGGCGTTTTGGATGCTATGCGCTTACCATCTACACTTCGCCCAGCATGCTATCCAACAGCTGGCTACAAATCTCGGCATCATGGTTATTATTCTCGAGCACCATATTCTCGAGCACCGTGCCCAATATCGGGGCGTTCGACTACCGCAGCGCATTATGCCACTGCAACTGTCCCCACGTCCGCAACTTCGAGCTCGCGCCACGCCTCGATAACATCAAACTTCTTCGCCCCGTAGCGCTTCAATTAGTTAACCCAGGGCAATCAACCCGCACTAATAAAACTCGCAACACACCTTGCATAGCGTCTCCTACAGCGCCTCCTCCCACCTGGTGAACGCCTCGAGAAAGTCGCTAGAGCCCGCGTTGGCCTCGCCGCGGGGGAGAAGGCGGATCGCGCCGTACTGTGCGAGCAGGTCATCGCAGAGTGCCGGGGTATGGCGGTACATTTGTGTGCAGTCGCAGTCCCGCATCCAAAGAGCGCAAAGGACACACCCGCGAGCGCAATGCCTGTAGGTGCGTCGCCGCGGAGGCTCGCGAGCCACTCAACGAAGCGTGTCGCGTTTTCTAGCAGCCGGCGTGGACAGGAGCGCTGCGGTGAGTGTGGCATAGTGGGAAAAATATAGGCACGCACGGACCTTCGTATGACGCAGTCACGATGATCACGGGCCCGTCGGTGAGCAGGTGCCCCGCCGCGGTGTCGAGTTCGCCAGAGTTCGCCTTGAAGCCTGAAACTCTGGTCAAGCTCTGCGCTGAGGACGCGTGGTAATGGAGGCTGAAATACCTTGACCGCCTGCATCCGCAACAATCCTCTGCGCGAGTGCCTCGCACGTGCCCTTATTGGAGCCAAAGAGCACATATATCGGATGCGTGCCCTCTGCAAAGAATGTGCGAGCGACACGGTAGCTTACTGGGGAGCTACATTCGGGATACATGGTTATATTCTTTGGTAAGTGTCCAGGGCGAGCTATGGAAGCCGCGCGGCCGACAACAGCTGCTTGGTCCATAGAAGGCACGAGAAGACTCGAGATTAGGTGGGTCATGTGGGCTGCCTGAGTAAGAGCCAGAGCCCAGAAGAGCTAGTAATATACATCGGCCTTGAGGATGCGGGATATAAGCAATGGAACGCACCACAATGACATGTTGGACCAGGAGTAGCCTAAGAGATTAAGAGTACGAGAGTTGCAGCAGCTGGGTTCCCTTCCCAGCGCGAGCGGCCACGCTTCCTCCTAACATCTCGAAAATGGCACCGAATAATCCTCCTGCCAGGGTATATCGGCCGTCGCAACGCAACTTCACTTTGGGGTACTACCCCACTGATGTCTGGCGGCTCGCCAGAGTGAATACGCCAGCCTGAGCTAGCTTTGGAAGGAAGAGCCTACGTCAGTTCTGGTCATCAGATACGCAGTCACGGTATTACTCACTGTTCGTGGCGAGGGTTTCTTGGCCCGCTACGCACGGTAGTAAGCCAGGAAAATACCATTGAGGAAAGCGACTCGTACCCTAAACCCCGTCATAGCGCCTAATGGATAGAGATTATCGGAGCTGCCGATTATCTATTATCTTGACTATCTCGGCAATAGCCGAAAAGCCGATCAGTGATTGGCTGACCCCTTTAACTCCTTCAAGTTTGACTGGCCCCCGGTCAGCCCAAGAGTCAATCCCAACACTGCGTTTTTGAACACGCGATTTTCTACTTGCACTTGTTCTATATTGCTCTTCACATTCTTACATAAACCACGTCGGAGTGTGGCAAATAATCATCGAATAGATAGCGAACGCCGGCGCGTTTTGCCCTCTCGACGACGCAGACCGTGACCGTGACGGTAACCCAGTCTTCTAACATGAGCTAACTCACCGCCTGGATGAGCCCCGCTCCTCCACACTTTAGCTTTCGGATTCGAGCTATCAGGCGATTGTGACGTCAAGCATAGGCGAAATCCTCAACAGTTTATCGTGCGCTTCGTGATATTTTCCCTGCAGTTCTCGTCACGACTGTGCCAGCAATTCATCACCTTACAAACAGTGAATAAAATTTGGCTTAGCCTTGTCATTTCATACTTCAAGGTGAGTGAATCCTTTGCGATACCACGAGTGGTCCCAGTAAGGAGCATCTGAAGTTCTGAAGGTCGCACATGGCCCTCAAACGAGGGCCGCACCGTCGGCTGAAGCTCACGATTACTCTGACTCTGACTATGCTATTAATATGCGCCCAAATTACTCATAAAATATTTGCTTACAGGTAGCGGTGAGCACTTTGATACCATGCATATATTCGAGAGGCTCGCTGGCCTCTCCAGGCATGATCTCTATCGCGTTTCTTGGCTTCTCAGATCTTCCCCTCGATGCTCCGATTTGTGCTGCCACAGATAGACTTACAAGTTAAGCTCGAAGTTGGTGCGCATCAGATAATGACACTTGTAGTAAGCCGTCAAGCAGTTTCCAGGTCACAGTACTCATCGTCCGCTCAGTATCGGCAATGCCCTTAGTATACCCGGGGTACCAGTAGCCGTCCCTGGTGGGACATTTCATTTCTTGCACAGTGCCCATACATGCGAACTACCGATAATTTAGCATCTGCCATTGTGGTTAGATTGCGAGTGGGCATTCAAGAACAGATACTTGTCATGATGCAGTAAATATTTGTGCATGTCCAAACAAGTGGCGTTACTCATCGTTTGTTGGATTTCTGCCCCATCAGTCTATGCCCTCCACTTCCCACAATCCTCTGTCTCTTGCATTGGCAAGCTGTTTACATTTTATTTCAGGTGTGTCCAAGAAGACATCTCAAAGGCGGTTTAGATGGGGAGTAAAGTACAGTTAGCTGAGTGAGAGGTGGATGTGCAGGCAGCATTGTTACTGTGAGAAAAACAAAAGGCTAATGGAGGGCGGCGGCGGCTGGTGCATCCCCTGCATCTGATTGCTTTAGGCACCCTGATCAACATCACGGCTATTGGTGTATGGCCGACTATCGATCAATAAGGGTGCTTTCCCGGAGAAGGGGCGTGCCTGAGTGTCACTAACGGACCGACGGTACGGGTATCCCCAGCAGGTTTACCTTTTCCAGCAACAACGCTTCACTGAATTTCAAAGATTCCGAACCGCCATCTGGCGTTATTGAAAGGTCGATGGGAATCTGGTAGTTCCCGCACAGCTCCGGATGTCAGGCAAGCCTAAGTTTCACAAGAAGGCGGATCATTCGGAAGCAAGGGAAGCGGACGGCTAGCGGACACGGTGGTCAAGGTACCAGCGAGGAGATGAAGGAAGTCCTCTATCCATACGTCTATACATCTGCGAGCTGTGGTTGATGCGCCAACGTAACGAGACTACGGTACGTGCTTGTTTACTGAGATCCGAGATCACGGGCGGAGATCAAGCAATGGGCAAATGTCAGAGATACTTCAATCTAGGCATTGAACGCCCTTCATGCTTTCTTTTCGGAATATTCGCTCACGCGTTAAGCAGCCGTCCTTGCGATACTCTCGAATATTCGTCATGCTTCGGTGTACACGGTAAGCAGGCCTGCTGCTGATGTATGATCGACGTGAAGCGTCTGGCAAATCTAGGACACTTTCCTCCTCCAGATGATGGGCGACGGCGCGCCGCGATACAGCATCAAGGCTTTTCCTAGTGGATATGGATATTGTTGCCCGTCACATCCCTTAACATGGACGTCAAGGGCTTGAGGGGCCCAGCTGTCACAAGATAACAAGGAGTAAACGCAGACTATTTGAAGCCGCTGCGTACTTACCGGCATAATATCCACTTGCATGCGAAATTACTCGAGTTGGTAGCATGGAATAAGGCTCCATGCGATGGCAGTACGGATTCCCTGTGTCCTACCATTCTCAAGCATATTAACGGCCTTTCACTGCCTCAGAATGTTGTTTTACAAATCACTGCCGCTTTATCTCGGTTCCGCTCGTAGTGAGGTCAAGTCAAGTTAGGGTCCACGGGCCAGCCTCTTCAGTACCAGCGCTTTCGAAACCCTTCGCAGCATCGATGAAATACTATTTGCAAAGGCCACAAATACGGGGGCGGTAACGATATGAGTGTTGATAGATGGTTGGGCAGGTCGCTCATAAATTGTGCAGGTGCACGCCTACTATCCTCAATTCAGCTCATCCCCCCGTTCCCCACACTGTCTATGGCGGCACAGTCAGACCAAGCTCTTATCCAAGCCTATTTGCAGCTGTAAGCATTCCTTCCGCTCGCACTTGATGACCCAACACCAATACTATGATTTTTCAGTATCACGAGTGACTATATCTCCGTAGCTGCCGCATGCAAGTACAACCTTCAATGTCCTCTGGCATAACGTCTCTCATGGAATATCTGTCGCTCAGGCTTTGTCGTCTATGAACTCCTAATCACCATCGGCGACGAGATCAAGTTTGTATGGAAGAGGCCCATTACTGCACCCGCCGTGCTCTTCGGCTCGGTGCGGTGGTGTTTGCTCCTCACGGTCACCCTACAATTTTTACCGCAGACTAAAAATGTAAGCTTCCGGGTCGGAAGTCTTTAACCATGCATAATCTACTAATACGACAATACTTCTTACAGGAGTAAGTACTGTTTCTCTGCATGTGTGGGCAACGAGTTGCTCATCAGAACCCAACACACAGCTGCGCACCCCTTACAATCCTAGACTGGGTGCCCAATCTCATTGTATTCATCCAGATTGCACGTGCGTCTTATACAGCCTGCTAACCTCAACATTTCCCACTAAATTCCACATGCCAGTGTTTTCCGCCCTGCGTGTGTTCGCAATCTGGGATAGGAGCTACGTTTGGTCGCTGGTGGTGTTCGCACTGAGCATAGTGCCGTTCGCTACCAATATAGTTCGTGTCACCTCCGGTTGAGCCGCGCACATGCTCCAATTGACACTTCTGCGCAGCAAAATGCGGCGGGGTCGAAGTACGGGTTTATGGTAGACCCGGTTGTCGGAATTATATGCACTGAAGTGCCTCTGTTCTCTCTGAGAACATTCAACATGTGGGTTCCCACATTTCGCCACTGTGTTCTCAGAATGCTGAAATATCACAAAATAGACGTACGTCTCGCGGGGAAGCACTATAGCATGCTGGTCACACTGATGCCGCCTATTCACAGTTGTGTACGTCACGCGTGGCGCAGTAATTCTCGCCGACACCATCGTGCTCGTCCTGACGTGGATTAAGACGTTCAGAAGCTGGAAGAATGCCCGCAGCCTCGATATCAAGGTATCAATAACGACGTGCATCTTACGCGACGGTCAGTCATCCTATACGCATTTTAACATTTCCCATTACTCATTCCCAGCCACCCGTGCAGGAACTATCTATTTTATGTGAGTGTAGCGAGAAATTGCCTTCAGAAAAGAATTTTTCACAGGCGACAACGAATATAGGGCTCTGCTAGCAATGAACATAGCTCAGATGCTAACCGGTAATATCGTAGTGGTACGCCCCCGACGTGAGCACGTAGACCGATAGCTTACGTCGAGCTTGTGCCTAGGGCTCATCAATCGTGGCAGATTTTACGACGTTCCTGGTGCATATCCTACGTTCCTTTCGCCCTTTCGTGCTCATTGACTGGCCATGTAGCCCTCGGTGCTCATCAATCGTTTCATGATCAACCTGCGTCAGACGAGCGGCTCGGTAATGTCGGACATGAATAACCAGCAACAGGAACAGCCTATCGCGACACTGCAGTTCCGAGGGACAACCGATCATTGGCTGGGAAATATTGGGGAAGAGTTGCAGGATGACCGGGATGACGAACGGGATTACGAAGAGACTGATACTACAGAGTCTATAGACGAGGAAGGACGTGGCGAGATCGGTGTCAAAGCAGCGTGAACCAGCGTCGCCGCGATGATTACACGTACTGGTAGATTCTATAGTGTGCTCTATCGCAGGTGAACACCGGCATTTATTACTTGACTTATGCGAACCTCGAAGGTTGATATCGAATAATACCAATTGGATAGTGCGATATCAAACCTCCCCATACATTGTCGTTTGCGAGTCACATTACAAAGCTTCCTAGCGAACCCGTAGATTAGGTGGATTACGATAAAATATACATACTATAAGCGTGTGTTTGTGGACAATTACCGTTGCGCATGTGGAGATGAGGCTGACGCGCCACAAATGCTTGGTTGCGAAGGTGTCCGCGAGCGTCCTGATGTGACTAGAGCCAAGTCTGAGTAGGCCTGAAGGCATGCTGTACCGAAAGATGAAAAAAAATGGTTGCGGGCCAAGGCAACACCTTGTTCGGTACGGGCGTCACTCGTTTTCCGGCTTTGCGTCAGTGCGCTCCCGAGCTCTGAGCAAGGTTGCTTTGCTCCCCGTGAGTGGCAAGGAGACATCTGCGGTAAACTGGTGCGCAGGTGGCAGCCCATAAAGATTTCGTTGAGGACAAACGCGGCTGATGGACGCTCGAGTACTTAACGAGGGGATCAGAAACTGTCATACAGGGCCCGTCTCGATCGCTCGAGTTGCATCCGAAGACGAATGCGCACAGTCAAAATCTATTCACGATTAATCAGCGCAGAAAATATTGCAATCTACTCAAAAACATCAGTGGCAAAACGGCCGACCATGATCTCATCGAACTTCTTCACTGCAGCAGCGTGATCCAACTTCAGCGTGTCCTGCACAACGAGCACAAGCTTTTCCTTTACCCCGGCCGCCATCCGGCTCGAGCCGCACAGGTACAACTGTTCGAAAAGAGGTGAATTCAAATTCACGAAAGGAACCATAATTCAAGATTGACCTTTGCGCCCGACCTCCACGCTGTAACGACGTCAGCACGGTCGTACCAGATACGGCTGTGCGAAGAGCTGTCAGAAAAATGAATGCCGAAGGGAGGATAAGCACTTACTCCTGAACATACTTGCATCCGAGTGACTCCGAGTCGTCGGTTGCCTTCGAGAACGCCGAACGCACATCCACGATGCCGAGATCAACCCACGCTTTCAGGTCGCTATCAGCGTACAAGAAGTCCTCGCCCGGGGTTCGGCACCCAAAGAACAAAATGCTCTTTGCAACCTCCCTCCCAGACTGCTTCTGGATCGCACGCTCCTGCAGGAATCCGCGCATCGGCGCAAGTCCCGACCCGGCGCAGAACATCAACATCGGCACAGCCGGGTCCGTCGGCGGGTGGAAGGCCGCGTTAGACGGCCGCACCGCGAGCTGCACTTTGTCATTTGGGCGGAGGCCGGCGAGATACGTCGATGCCACACCTAGGAAGGGCTCGTTCCGGCCTGAGATCGCGGGTGCCTCGAGCACGCTGATCGTTAGCGTGGCACGAGAGGCGTCGACGAGAGGCGACGAGGAGATGGAGTATTGACGAACACGCATGCTTGGGAGGAGCTGAAGGAAAGTGGCGAAGGGGATGTCGATGTCAGGGTAGCCTTCGAGAACGTCGAGGACGCTGAGACGCCTGGCGAGGACCTTCTCTGCGTAGTTGTTCGCCAAGTCCTTCAGTGCAATCTTGGAGGCTTCAGCCTTGGACATCTCGCCCAGAATACGCAGGTCACGAGTTGTCGCCGGCTGGGACAACTCAACATATCCGCTAAGGATCGTCGATACATTGATAGGACGGTTCGTCGGAAGAGTCGTTGGACCAGCGGAGCGAACCGTGATCTAATAATGCGTCAGTTTCGGCCTCTTGAGTTATATACCACAATTTACATGCCTCTTGGTCAGATAACAAACCAAAGCGGGCGATTGCACGGTGGACGTCCCTCGCAGGGTTGACAGGAAGACTAACGAAATAAATTAAATAAGTACATTACCAGAACGAGGATCGAACATTTTGGCACCCACATAGCGAGATAGTCGCCCGTCCGGTACGTTATGCCCTCCGGAAGGCCGAATTCTAAGAGACTTATCAGCGTCGATTTTCAAGGGATCAGGTATCTTCCGCATACCGATGTGCCTTTTCACCGGTGCACCCGGAGCTGTAAGGACCCTATTCTCGAGCACAGTCCCCAGAGCTGCGTCCGGCTGGCGAAGGACGCTTGCACGGCTCGTTCCCGCATCCATAGTCTGGATCTGGATTTCAGATTCTGGCCCATCAGACTTAGTCGTTCCATACAGCTACAAAAAGACCGGTCAGCCGTGAGCCACATATCGCGCATAGTCAGGAGCACAGACCGTACGAAGCGCCTCCCACAACGCTGTCTCCCACTTCTCGAACGCCTCGAAGAATTCTCCAGAGCCGGCATCACCTTCGCCACGAGGTATGATGCGCTTGCCGCCGCGCTCGGAAAGCAGGTCGTCGCACAACGTCGGAATACGCTGGTATGTCAGAGCCCAGTCGTGATTTCCAGAACCAAACACGGCATAAGACGCCTTCAAGAGCTCCCTGTCTTTCAGGTTCGAGAGCCATTCGACGAAGTGTGCAGCATTGTCGGCCGGCTGGCCTTCATATGAGGCGGTAACAATGATAGCAGGTCCGTCCGTGGGTAGATGTCCTGATACGGAGTCGAGCGTACCAATAGTAGCCTTGAAACCTGGTAGAGTATTGAATCGGCCATAAGTAGCCTATTTGTGGTATCGACGCACCTTGCCCGGCAGCCGCAGAAGCGATTCTCTGAGCGAAACCTTCCGACGTGCCAGTGTTCGAGCCATAGAGCACGTACAAAGGCCTCAAATCAGCAGCATTCTCCGTCGCAGGCTGCTCGCCTGCCTTGCTAGAATCATTACTCCGCTGCAGCAAGGTTGACGGCGCGCTGAACATCGGGATGGGGCCTTTCTTATCAGTGCGCAGAATCGCGCGAATGTAGAACTCGTGCGGCTTAATCGTCAGCGTCTGCTTCAGGTGCAGGTCGTAAGATGGGTCGGCCATGACGAAGTTGAAGCGCTGCATGAGGTAGACGAGCGTGATCTGGGCCTCTTGCCACGCAAACGGCCGGCCCTGCAGATAATATGAGTTGGGTGGCAACGAGGAAGCGAGCAATGATGCGTACGATACAGGCACGCATGCCATAGCCGAACGGCTGCCAGGAATCGGGCTGGTGTCGAAGGGTCAAATGCGGCTCAGAAACCCACGAGCGCATACACTCACCGGCATCGCTTCAAATTTACCATCGAGCATGCGCTCAGGCTTGAAATCCTCAGCCTACCGTTCAAGTCAGTAATGCAAATAGGCCAAGAAGCCTGAGACCTCACGTCTTCGCCCCAGACCTTCGTGTCGCGATGAACATTATAGACGCTGCACAAGATGAGAGTGTCTTTTTCGACGGCGTACTTTCCGCCGCTGAGAGTTATATCTTCGTACGGCGCCGTTCCGCGCCCCGAAGCAGGTGGACCAAGGCGCAACGCTTCTCTCAGAACGGCTGTAATATCCAATATCAGCAAGGGAAAAGACTGTGAGGACGGTATCAGAATTCACCGATGAGGTACGGCAGCTTATGTACGTCATCCACTGTCATCGGCCGGTCGCCGATCGTGCCATCCACCTCCTCGCGCAGTTTCCGCATTGCTTCGGGATTCTTAAGGAGATAGTACATCGTGAATGTTAGCATTCCTGGTGGAGATTAAGTCCCGGCTTGATCTCAAAACGCTCCCTGGGGTCGTACCTGAAGTGGTTTCGTGCCCTAAATGTGTAATGCTTCGTCAATACTTTCCATTTATGGGGCTTCGACTATCAATGCGTACCGGCAATAAGGAAAGTAAGCAGCTAACGAATGAAACTCAGCAAAACAATCGAAACAGGACTAGTACCACAATTACGCACGTTTTGTCTGATGCTGTCCTCTGTCATCTCGAGCCCCGTCTCTTTGTCCTTCGCATACAGCATTACATTCAGGATATCCTTCTTTTCCGTAGGATGAGCTCTGCGCTCTGCAATAACTGTCAATCAATCTCGTGTTAGCATATCGCGGAACATTCCACTCGAATCGCTGGCACGTACTTTCATCGACAAAGCTCATAAGCACGTCGATATCCTGCTGGTACTTCGCGTTCGTACTCCGCATGAATGGTGCTACTATCGCCGGCCTCCGAGCACGCTTGCCGCTTTCGATTAGGAAGTCTGTCATCGCACGGGCGAAGGGATGTACCCCATTCTACGATTCGCTCAGCACACTGCAAGCAGGCGTATTCAATAGAGCACGTACAATATAGAACGTATTCAACCTACCAAGAATTTATCAGTGCACAGAGGCCATACAAGTAACACACGGACTAACCTATGAGACATCGCGCAGAAGGATATCGCTTCCAGCGTCATGGCCGTGAAGTCCTCTGCGGGGTTAATCTTGTGGTACGGTCCGAAGCTATCGCTTCAATGAGGACAAGCACGTCAGGAAGGAGCTTCTGCAGAAACGCACCGTTCCCACTTCAGCACGAGCTGAGAAATCACGTCGACCATGTCGTCGAACATGTTCCGCGTGTTCATGGCGCTGAACGACGGCATCAGGATACGATCTTCGATCAGGCGCGTCGAACCAAGAGTGAGCATTCATCGTATGGAGACGACAGACAGACGAACTTACGAGCAATGTACCAGTTTTTCTCTTGTGGTACGCGGGCCTGTGATGCGTCGTCATTGTTACTGGCCTTCTCAAGGATGAGGGATGCCGAGGAGACCTACAGTGAAGAGTCCGTCGCCAGTCGCGTTGCGAACTTCGTTTAGACCTTGTTGTACAATCTTTCGGAAGCGCTTCTCATCGGACACCTCATGAAGAAGCTCCTGCGAATTGATAACTACGACCTTCGTACCTGTTCAACATGTTATCAGCGTCGCGTACTAGCGGTGCGGACGCAGCATAGATACCGAGAAAGTTTAGCTGGTAGATCTCGCCATATTGCTTGGCAAGCAGGTGGAACGAGAGAACGGGGAGCTCTGCATCTATGGTGGTTACGTGACCTAGGAAGGGAATGGAGGGCGGGGTTGGAATGGGCTGGGACATTTGGTATCAAGTGCCTGTAAGCAGAGTAAACTGGTATAGCTGCGATGCGATGCTGGAAAGTAGAGAACAGTATTCTTATATATCCTGTACTGTTATCTAGACCAGTGCATTCGTCCGACATGCCGCGGCCCGTCCCGAGGCAGATGTGTGCGCGAAATGTCACACCGAGTCCGGGGAGTGAGCACTCATGCGTAATGAGCGCCCGAGAACCGGCGCGGAAGGACATTGTTGCCGGTGTCCGACTTCGTACGCAGGGCGGGCAGCGGGTGGACTGGAACGTCATGCGTATAGAGTCTGCGCATTGCATGTCATATCATGGCCGGCAGCGGGTCTCCAGGTTGCCGTTCGTTGGTATGACTGGACAGCAAATGTCAGAGACACCGCGCTATCCTGAGAGCAAGCGAGGCAGAGCTAGCTGTAGATCCGTTAATCATGCTCAAACTCAAGCGGCGAACAGTCTGAGTACTTGAAAGTTCGAGTCCTACACCTCCTCGTATCGTAAGTCGGGCCGACGTCGATCCAGCTCGGCGATTACAACGTGCAGCACACTTTGCACAGACCGCGACTCGGAGCGCTCGAGTTCGAAGATGAGCTCCAGAAGCAAAAAGTCGACCTCGCCGTATGGCGTGTCTCGGGTCCTTGTGGCGTCATGTCGAGTTTGAACTGAAGTGGCAATGGGCCGTTGTCTCAGGTGGAAATGGGCCCAGAGTCGAGACTATCAGCAGTTAATCTTATCTTATCTCCACTTCTCGAAGGCTTCCTTTCGCAAAGTTCCTCCCCTGACCGCCTTGGCTTCTTCCCATGCTCTCCTATGCCTATGAAGTTCGTGTAAAACATTCACAGCTGCAATGAAGTCTTCAATCAGGGCGTATTGAGCAATAGGTAGCCAATATTTCAGCGCTGATGCAATGTGTACTTAGGATCGCAAAATACTAAGACGGTGAGTACTGGTGGTGCGAAGTACCAATGTCTATCTAATTAAGACTTGTTCTAGGATAACCTCAGATGCGTATATAGTTTGAGGAGCAAGAAATTGCATGACCGTTGGGGCTGTTCAAGAATGCAGACGCGGCATATCAATCGTATGTATGCGCGGTGTGATCCACGACGACGCTCATCGCAGTGTCGCCCTCCTTGTCCGCCGGCTTGATATCGGTGAGGTACCAGATACCAGCATCTTCCAGAGTAACCTCAATGTGCGACGTATCATCCTTGGGACGCTCCTGCTGTAGGGTCACCTCATACCACCATTGCACGCCCTTGCCACCATCTTCGTCGTCCTCACCATCCCCGTCCTCGTCCTCGTCTTCTTCTTCGTCGTTTTTTCCTGTCTTCTCGTTCCACTCCTTCACGAGAGCCTGCGCCGCTGGCGCCTCACGAGCCTCGTCTGTGGCGTCGATGGACCAAGTCCGGAGGATGTCGAGGTGCTTCTCAATAGCCTCGAACCGCTCGTCCTTTGGGAGGCCTGCGACCGGTCGGAAGGCGTCGAGCGCCGCGGACTTGAGGACCACATACGCTCTGTCCTCATCTAGCTCGAGGAGCGAGGATATGCCATCCGCCCAGAGGTAGCAGACGTTCGGGCCGGAACCGACCAGCTCGTACGCCTTTCGCTCTGGCTTTCCTCCTTCGCTGCCCTCCTCACCGGCATCTTCTTCGTCTACCTCTTTGTCTTCATCCTCGGCCTCGGCCTCGTCAATTTTGTCCTCCTCGTCAGGGGCTGTCTTGGTCTTCTTGTGGTCTTCTTTGACACCGGCCGATACGCTCAGCTTGCGCTTCTGTCCGCTCGCGGTATCTGTTGCCCTCGCGTTCGTATAAAAATATGCCAGTGTTACTGAAGCTTTACCTTGCTTTGCGGGTGCGCTGGCAGCAGCGGCGGGCCTTTGAGCGATGCTTTCACTTCGTGGACGACGAATCATTTTGAGAACTGCTATTACGACAGTTATAGGTGGTTGGTAGCGATACGATGTGCGTATACGGTTCGTATGTCGTGGAGCTGAAATCGAACAATTCAAATCTGAACACGGTACGCGACTAATTTAGGGGGCGCTCAACTTCGGACCCCGGGCCTAGGCCCGATTGGGCACACGTTCAGGTTGTCCCGCACATCCATCACGACTTCCTACTACCTCCCCGTGGCGGGCCAATCGCTGCTGATACAAGGCCGACTTCCGGCTCTCGACGCTGTGAGTAAAAACATAGCACCAAAAAAGCCCGAAAATTCATCCCACACAGGCCACCATCTCGTTGCGCTGTTAGCAGGCTGGGCACTCGTGTGAAAGCAGCTAAGCCCGCACCCCGCTCTGCAACCTTACCCTGCTACACTGATCTTTGTGAGCACAAATGCTGTTTGGACTGCAATAGAGCTGACAGAGCACCGCCAGTTGCTAAAGTGCGGCGAGCACGATGTCCGACCCAGGGTCCACGGAGACGTCCGACTTTGAGCAAGTCGCTGAGGCTAATGAGAGCATGACGAGCACACAGAATTCCGTGCAATCGACTTCATCCACGTCTGAAGAACCCACCTCAAAGGAGAAAGAGGAGGACACGGCTATCCATCCCCACCCTGAGATGTCCTTTGACGACGGCAACATCATGATTGTGGCTGAGAAGACGTCGTACAGGGTGCACCGCAGCGTGTTGTCGCGCAAGTCAGCACTGTTCAAAGATCTTCTGAGTCTACCCCAACCTGACTCGGAGGAGAAGCTCGACGGGCTACCGGTTGTTCGTCTGCTGGACCCCGCAGAAGACGTTACAATGCTCCTTGATGCGATATACAACGGCGCCAAGTGAGCTCTCTTGAGCTCGAAGTGATCGTCATTGACACTACCCCCACAGATACCGCTACCGCGATGACGAGACGCCGGGATGGGCAATTGTGCGGCGGCTGCTGAACCTGGGGACCAAATACCAGGTCGAGGAACTACGCGACGAGGCGATCCACCAGCTGAACGCGCGCTACCCGCGTAAGATCGCGGACTGGGACTACACGTGCCGCACGGACTCGGACACGTCCTCGACGATCGTCGTCTCGTATCCGATCGAGGAGGACCTCGTGATCGCCAACGTCGCGCGCACGATGAACCTGCCCGACATCCACCTCGCCGCGCTCTACGGCTGCTGCTCGCTCCCGCCGGACGTGCTCGTCCGCGGGCGTGCTGTCGACGACGGCACGCTTGAGCGCCTCTGCGAGGACGACCTCGTCGCGTGCCTCCAGGGCAAGGAAAACCTGCTCGTCTGCGCACGCGCGGACGTGCGCCTGAACCTCTTTGCGCCCGACGAGCGCCCCGAGGCGTGTCGCTACCCCGTCGAGTGCGCGGACAAGACTGCAGAGCTCCTCACGCGCTACCGCACGGCGGAGCCGCGCCCGCGCCGCCTGTACGACCCGCTCCGCCCCGACGACGAGGAGATCGAGCGCCACTGTGTCGAAGCCGGGCTCTGCCACGAGTGCGTCAAGTTCTTCATCGCCCGCCACGCGCAGCTCCGCCAGAACGTGCGCAACAACCTTACGTCGTACATTTGCGTCCAAAAGGCGACCTAGGTACGCTGCTGGTGCTCCTCCGGCACTCGGTCTTGTTCGCTGACGCAGGAAAATCCAGGTTGGAATATATATACCCATACATGCTCGCAGTCCGTCCATACGTAGTTGTGATGTTGTACAATGTAATGTAGCACGATTCGTAGATACCAAGATGATGTAACTATATGCATTACCTCCTCTCACGCACCAAGAAGTTCAAACATCCTCGCGAGCAGCCGCGCCAGAGCAGAGGCACGCCGCCCTCAACACTGACGTCGCGCCCCGCGACGACATGCTCCCACGAAAACCGCTCCTCGGCACGTCTGACAAACACCGCGCGGCGGCCAGCGTGCGCCGGCGAGCGGCACACCCCGACGCCCGGGTGCGTCTCCGCGTCCTCGTCTTCGTCCGCCTCCCGCACGCCCGGCGCGGACGCGCCGCCGTTCGACACGAACGACGCGCTCCGGCGCACACGCTTCGCGGTGTCCGCCTCCTTCGCGACGGCGCGCGCACAGCACGCGCGCAGGTCTGCGAGCAGCCACCCTGGGTAGTCGTCCGGCAGCGGGAGGGGGTGCAGCGCCTCGAGCGCCGTCTCGCCCGGCTTCGAGTCCGGCCTGAGCAGCGTGGCATCGGCGGGCGTGAGTTCTGCGAGCAGCGCGCGCAGACACGCCTCTGTCAGGGTCGGCACGGCGAAGTAGGTGATCGTCGGCGACACGGCCTTGCGCTGTGGCTCGTCGCGGTGCGTGTCTGGTGGTGGTGGCAGCCATGGGTTGCCCTGGAGCACGAGGGTCGCGAGGCGCATGTCCAGCATCTCGGCGGGCAAGTACGTGAGCTTGTTCTGCGAGATGATGAGGGTCTGGAGGTTCTTCAGTTGTGCGATTTGTGGTGGCATGTGTTTGATGTTGTTTCCGCCTAGAAGAAATCAGTGTCGGCTGAGGGACCTCAGTAACATCGTACTCACGAAGGTTGAGCTCCACGAGGCGTTGCAGCCAAAACAGCTCGAGCGGCAGCTTGGTGATCTGGTTTCGGGCGAGGTGCAGCGTGATTGCGCCGACCGTGCTTTCGGAGCTCTTGCTCCGTTCTGGCCATTTCAACTGGGCCATTGAAGGCGACTTTAAAAGACGGGGAGACTCCTCAGAGCCGAGGAATGACGCTTGGCGGAAGGGATTGGCCGGTACCGTGACAGACCGTGTGAAAGGACGGGAGCGAGGCACAAACTCTGTCGTTGATGCTGCGCTCCGTGGTTGTAGAACGACGAGCGACGCGAGGTCCGCAACCGACGAAGGAATGCGAGTTAACGGTGTCCCAATCAATCCAGAGTTGCTGCACGCGAAATGTTAGCGAGTTCATCTCTCAGTATAATCAGCTGCACGCACTCGAGGTTAATGACGCTGTCGGCTTCATTCACAGCCTTCTCTATCGCCTCTTCCCATATTTCCTTCTCACGCTGCTTGCGACTTCGGTACACAGGCTGGACGTCTGATTCATCGTCGCTGAGATTGATCGCTTCAGAATCGTAAGCGTAGGCGGGAGGCCGGGGTCGCGCGGAGAACAGCCGGGCGGGCGGGATGGAGGAGAAGTCGGACGAGCCGGTACTTGTGACGGAGAGCGCTCGACGGCTCTTGCTGGATTTCTTCTCCCAGTCGGGTGGTGTCCAGGCCGTGTTCGCATCGCCCGCCAAGGGGTCATGCGGCACAGAGGTCGAGGTCGTGTGACGGGTTCGGGAAGGTGAGTCATCGAGGCCGAGGACGTCGCCCCCAGAAGGGCTACCGAGTTCAAGCTCTCCGCGAGAGACACGCTTCTCGTAGAGAGGCGGAGCACGGACTGCCTTGGTGGAGGCAGCAAATGGGTGAGAAAGACCTGGCGATGCGGGGGGCGAAAGCGACCGTGGTGCACATTCGGGAGACGAGGGCGGCGATGAGTCGCATAGTCCGAATGACGGCGAGGATGCGGGCGACGAGGTTGGTGGCGACGATGGTGCACCAAAGCGATTGGGTGAGTTTGTGAAAGACGACATGGAATAGCGAGCGCGCGGGGCAGTGTCCTTGATAAACCGGCAAATGCCGCGACTTACAGCAGGCACGTGAGCGTTTTACCTCGCCTGGCCGGACTGAAACTCACCTGGACTCTGCACGATAAAACTGGCGCAGGCCGCCGTATGTGGTGATTGTAGAGGCCGAGCGTGTAGCGTAATTTATACGTCGCTCTCAGTGCAGATATAGTAGTTTGCGACGACAGCTGACAAAGGACGGCCTTACCCAAGCAAGTCGCGGCGAGGCGTGGCCTGAGTTTTACGCCGTTCGTCAACAATCCTTCCAACGGCCCATCCCCATGGGGATTGTGCGTGAGGAGATTTGAAAGCGATGTAGTGCAGGTTGTGGCAAGATGGGGAAGGGGACAAGCTCGGGGTGCGGGAATGACGAGAATCGAGCGTTGTTTTGTACAGTACCTTAGCACAGTACTCCGCTGAAGCCACGAAAGAAGAGGTCAGCACTAGACAGCTTGGTTAATGGCTATACGAAAGCAAGGCGCGTAGGGGCGCGTAGATGTGGTCGACGCGTACATAAGGCGCCAACTGCGACGCGTCTCTGTAGCAGTACGCGACCGAACGCCAATCAGAACATATGACTAAGCTTGGCTCGGCCTCGGGGTCCGAGTCGCTATGTCACTTTCCTCGATGGTCTTTTCCTGGCTTACTGGCGTGCGTGGCGGGCAGAGGAACCTTCGCCACGAGCTGTGGGTAATACTGCGTCTATGTAAGTATTCGTTGAACCGACGTAGGCTTCTCCTAGCTCATGCTGGCGTATTCACACTAGCGATCCACCGGACGTCAGTGAGGTAAGTATCGCAAAATAAAGCCGCGCCGCAAGAGCTGATATACTTCGAAAGGAGGATCTTTCGATGCCCTTTAACTTGTCGAGATGCTGGAAGGAGATGCGGTTTCTCTGTCGACGGCCTTGAAATGACTCGCGCAAGGACAAGAGCCCAGTGAAACTCTCATACTCTTACCACTATGCATGTTGTGGAGTCCAACACGTCTTTGTAGTGCGCTCCATTACGCATGGCCCACATCCTCCTCGCGCTCAATATATATACTAGCTCTAGGCCCATTCAATCTTGAGCCCTCCCGTACCGTATCTGAATCATACAACTGTTATCAACGGCGAGGCTACTATAACTCGCTCAGAATGCTTACCAAAACAAAAAAGACTAGATATGTCGAGCTCAGCTTACTGGTAGGCACCCGTGTCGCTCGCGAATTCTTTGCAGAGGGCACGCACCCAATATATGTGTTCTTTGGTTCAAACAAGGGTATGTGCAGGGCGTTCGCGCGTAGAATTGCTACGGATGCGAGTAGTCAAGGTATTGCCTTCTCCATTGCTGTGTCGGTTCAGAGCAGAATGCTAACCAGATATGCAAGCTTCAAAGCGACTGTCCGCACCCTCGACTCCGCAGCGGTACACCTGTCCACCGATGGGCCCGTGGTCATCGTGACCGCGTCACATGAAGGTCCGTGCGTGCATCTCCCCTGCCCACTCCACTACACTCACCGCAGCTTCTCTCTCCAGCCCGACCACAGAATAACGAGGCACGCTTCGTCGAGTGACTCTCGGGTCACCGCGGCGACGCGCCTACGGGTATTGCGCTCGCTAGTGTGTCGTTCGCGCCCGTCGGGGTCGGGGATCCCGACTGGGCGCAAAGTGCTCAATCGCACCAGCGCATCCCTGTGGTCTGCGACGACCTCCTCGCATAGTACGGCACGACGCGTCTTTGGAGCTTGCGCAACGTGTCCCTCAGCTAACCGCGTCCTGGAAGACCTATTGGCACACCGTTCAACTGGGATGAGGATCATTCTCGAATATACTAAACTTTGAGCCTCCTGCTAGCACAAGTTGCAAATGCCGCTGTCCGCCTGGAACAGAACATACTTTAGAGTCTAACTCGATCATTGACAGGGCCGGCTTACGCTTCGGCGTTGGTTTCACGATGTCCGTCCTCATCTACTCCTGCGGCATCGCTCTCTTCCTCACGGCGTTCGTCGCTCCAAATATCTGACAGCGTTCCCTCAATATTGCGCAGACGGTCTGTTGGCCTTCTGGACTGCAGTGTCGGCTGGCCTTGTTGCTGATGACCCATGTGCGTAGAGTAGTTCGACATTGACGAGCCGGCCATCTTCATGTTGATCATGAAGCGGCTAACGAGCACAGGAGGCTGTATGGCCAGTCCAGGAGCAAAACAAGACTGACAGAACGCAGGGTACGCACCAGGGTTGGTGTTAACGCGCTTATAAGTGATGTGTTCTTGAGCTCGATGTCAGCTATCGGCCCA